ACTTCTAAATCAAACACCTGAAGTTACCCACGCCCTCGTGGGCAAACGTCAACCCAAAAGGGATTGGCCCAAAGCAAGGCCTAAAAGCCCAACACAAGCCTAAAGCAACTTCTGGCCGGGACCCATGGAAAAGAGTCAGAAATGGCCAGACATATCTGGAGCAAAAGAGCAAAATCAAAATCAATATAAACACTGCCACAGTCACCTCCCTACAGGTCTCCCACCCACATCTGCCTTAACCAGTCCCTGGGGCCAGGAAACAAGCCCGGTTTCTTCATCACATGCTTGCTGCTCCATGTGGCTTCCTCAGGTCTCCTTCTTGTTCTCCATCCAGCTTCCTTTTTTCTCCTCTTCTCATTCCTTCTCTTCTCTCCTTTTTCTTTGCTCAGCTCCACCCTCTTTCTGGGTGGGGCAGGGAACCTGGAATTTCCCCATTTCCTAGGGACCACCCTGTTACAGATGTGGAAAGAAGTCTTGAATTGGGTAGAGGATTACTAATGATTTGTTCAGTGTCCTTGAACTATGAAATTGTATTTTTCTTCTTGCATTTTTATGTCTGATTCCCAATTGTTCACTTATTTGGTATTTATTACCAGGCTACCATGATGTAATACAAAGAACCTTGTTTTAAAGATAAAAATGCTTTAAGTTCTTGAACTAGCATTGCTGGCTGAATAATTGAGAAAAATTAGAACTTCCTAAGATTTTATTTAAACAACAAAGAGTACACATAGCAATGAATAGTACATATAACATAAAATTTATTTGTGCCAGGTCTTAGAGTAAGCACTATACACATATACACTCACTAATCATCTCATAATACCCTATGACTTGGGTCTATTTTTATGCTTATTTTCAAGCTGTGGGAACGAAGAGGTCTTATTCAAGATAACATATATTGAGTGCTATTCCAATCCCCTGTGATCTGTCTGTAGAGACCAATATCAATACTATTCTAAGATGCACATGGTAATTTGGTTAGATAAAAGATGTATTTGCAAGCAGTAAAGTGCCACAAAAAGGAGAGATCTATTTTATTAATTAACATGAAGAAAGTAATACAGATATGTTTAAACAATGAGAAGTGAAGAAGTATAAGTAATTTGTAGATACATGAGACTGCTCTTCCTAAAGGGAAATGTATTATGGAGAAATTAAAGTTGAATGGCATTTAAAATTAATGATTTCACTTATTCTAGAGCATCTAAAGTCCACAGTACCAAGCACATTGTAGGTGCTTCATGAAAACCTGTTCGGCTCTTATCTCTGCTTCCACATGAGTACCACAATTATTTCCAGGGTTCATTCTCATTCCTTCCAAAACAGAAGAGAACCGACTTTCCTCTCTCTTTCAGTGCTCGGTCCCTGATCATTTCTTCACACTTCTTCATATTCTTTAAAAAAAAAAAAAAAGGATAGGAAGCAATATGAGAAAAGTCTTATTGTCCAGATACACTGCTGGTGTGGAAAGAAACACAATTTATTTTTTAAAAAAGGCCCTTTTATTTTGGAATAAATTAAGATTAACAGAAAAGTTGCAAAGACAGTATACAGTTCCCCACTATTAGCATTTTACATAATTATACATATATCAAAACTAAAGACTTTGCACATTGCTAACTAAACTCAGACTTTACTCAAATTTCTCCTATTTTTCATTACTGTCCTTTTTCTACTCCAGGATTCCCACATTACATTGTCTTTCTGTCTCCTGAGTCTACTTAGGTCTCTGACAGTTCCTTTGTTTTTTATGAACTTAACTTTGAGGAGCACCTTGTATAATGGCTCTCAGTGTGGGTTTGTCTTTTCTCATGTTTAGAGTTTTGAGAAGAGGAGGTCAAGTGCACACTTATTGCATCATATCAAAGAATATAGGATGTCACAATCACACCAAAGGTGCTATTAACCTTGGTTAGAATATTTGCAAGTTTCAACTACTTGAAAGTTACTTTTTTTATCCCCTATTCTCATCTATTCTTTAAACTTAACATTGACATTTTTATTTTCTGATATTGTTTTTGATATTTTATTTTGATATTTGAGTACTATATACAAAGGCTCATAATAAAGCCTAAAAGAGGGGGATTCTTGAACAAAAGAGGCATTCAATATTAAATGTTAAACTTATGTTTCATAGGCATCTATGCTGGTTGTTGTCTCAGTCTTGGGGTAAGAGGTAGAAAAGCAAAGTTTCAAGCAAGTAAAGCTCAAGACAGGCAGGAGATACAAAAGATATAAAGTAGTTGTATTTCTATAACTCAATCCATTTTGCCTTCAAAAGCTATTTATTAATGCACATTAAACACTGTGTGCCAGCTACTATTTAGATGTAGACACATGGCAATGAAAAAAACTAATGAAGTTGTAATGTCGTAGGTAGGCAGATAAATGAAAACACGTTATGTTAGTGCTAAGTGCCAGCAATTTTCAGTAGTGTGCTAAGAGAAAGGTTTTATCATGAAGGTGATATGTACATCAAGACCTGCAGAGTGTGAGAGTGAGCCAGGTGGGTGTCCAAGATAAGACAATCCATGCAGAGAAAATAGCAAATGCAAAGTTCTGGAGGTGGTACTCCTAGGAATGAGAGGGAAGCTATTGTGAAGGAGGAAGAGTAGTAGATGAGGCTTGAAGGTTAAGAAGGTTCCTGATGGGAGAGACAGAATGTGTGTTGTTTTGCGGGTCAAAGAAAGGCCTTCAGTTGTTAACTAGCACAAATAAGGAAATTAGCTAGAGTTTTTTTTTTTTTTTTTTAAAGATTTATTGATTTATTCATACAGAACTGGGGTACAGGTCAGAGATGCGGAGGGTGAGAGGATTCACCAGAGACAGAGTGGGGAGCAGAACAGGCAGATCCATGAAGTACACTGCTGAGGAGAGCAGCAGTCAGGTCAGGAGAGGTCTGCCATGCCATGTGGTCACCTCCGGGGCAGGTGGGGATCTAACTCATGGGGAAGTGACTTAAGCTTCTTAGTGCAGTACTTTAACCTGCTGACCACCAGGGAGGGCCTTAGCTGGGGTCTTAACTGAAGGAGTGACTAGATCTAATCATGGCAATTGAGTGAGAATAGACTGTTGGTAGCAGGGACAAGAGAGGAGTTGTTGAAGAAGTGGAGAACGTGGATTGCTTGATAACTTTTGGTGGGAACATAAAGTGGGGTTGCCACAGTGGAAAACAGTATGGCACTTGTTCAAAAAGTTAAAAATAAAATTTCTAGGCCTTCCCTGGTGGCACAGCGGGTTGAAGGGCAGCACTGCCAGCGTCGGCACAGCCACTTCAGCATGAGTTCCATCTCCCATCCCTGAGGTGACCCACATGGCGTGACAGACCTTTCCAGTCTCACACACTGCTCCGCTCCTGCAGTGTACTTCATAGACCTGCCTGTTCTGCTCCCCACTCTGTCTCTGGTGAATCTTTTCACCATCTCTGCACCTCTGGCCTGTAATCCAGTTTTGTATGCATAAATAAATAAAAATCTTTAAAAATAAAACAGTTTATAAAAAAATAAAAGTAAAATTTCCATATGATCCAGTAATTTCACTTCTGGGAATATATCCAAAAGAATTAAAAACACAATTGAGTTTATTTTCCCCATGGTACTGCAAGTAAAAAAAAAAAGATGTTTTAACAATATAGGTTCATAGGAAAATTCTAGTTTTGTGGTTTATTTTCTCAAATAATAGGAAATGAATTTTCAATAAAAAGGTTATGAAGACCTTGGACAAATGGCCTGTTTTTCATAGGACTGAAGTGGAGGTGGAAAGGGACAATTCCTAGACTACCTGGAGGATCTAAGTGATTTTCTACTTAAGCTATTAACTTACAGTAAGTAACGGAAAAGCGAGATATTATCTCCTACAGTGGTCTTTCAAATTAAGTAGAAACTCAGGGAGAGATAAACTATGTAAAAAAATTTTTTTGGGGGGGCATTATATTGAAGCCAACCAACATTTATTTTCTTTTGTGTTAACCAAAAGGAATAGTGAAACACCTCCACTGATTGTATACGAAATTCAGCCCGCATAAGTAAAAGTGATATATGCACCTTTATTATAAAGGGATAAAGGGCAAAGCTACATGATGCAATTTGTAAATAAACTTCTGTATGGGTATGTAGATCAACAAGATGATGCACTTAAAATCTGGGTTAACGAGGCATTTAAAAGTAACCAACGTTTACTCTGGCTGTCTTGACATCATTTACGCAAACATTGTTATAAAGTTGGAAATTTACGGGGTAGACTGGATATTTTTGTAATGGTTTAATAAGGGAAGTTGATGTCACTACTATAGTTGTCCCAGGCAGTTCACTTAATTTAATTTTTAGCGCCACTTTTGAAGAGAGGGCTGTTTGCTATCTCAGGGCAATCATGAAGTTTAAAAAAAAATTGTCTGAAAAATTTACTCTTTGCTAATTTGGGAGTAAAATCATGATCCTCTGTCTCCATACATTGAAATAAGGAAACAAAAGGGCAAGTCTTTTTTGAGCAATTGCCTTGCTCTTGATTTCATGCACAAGCCCCCAAGGATATTTGGATCCTCGGCTGACAAAGAAGACAAGAGGTGCCTTTCTGAGGCTTCGTAAAAGACGCAGCTTTAAGCTGGCAATTGGCTTTTGGTGGACTCCGGCCCCAGTTCAGTTCCCGCCTTCGTTTGTCAAATGTTTTCACCTCACTGCTTTTAACAAGGGTCAAGCAAGTAAAGGACTGTCACTCAGTGGCCGCGGGCGGTCTCTCAACAACCACAATCTGGCGCGCGGGCGGGACGAGCACGCCACCCGCTCGCGGGCCTCCGCGCCGCGCTCGCTCCTCCGGCCGGCAGGCGGGGGCTGCCCTCTTCCAACATGGCGCCGCGGGAGGCGGGTCCCGCTCGCCGGCTCCCCGGGTTCCGGCGCCGCGCGTTTTGGTTCCGGAGTAACAGTTCCCCCGCCGCCCCCTTCCTTCTCCTTCTCCTTCCCTAGCCGCTGCCGCCGCCTGAACGCGCGGCCTCGCGACCGGGACTGAGTCCTCGTGCGCCGCGCCCGCTGGTTCTGCCGGGGGCAGAGGACTTGCCCCTGATCCTGCGGCGCAGGCCCCCTCGGCTTTCCTGTGCTTCGGCGGCCCCGCGGCTCCTTCCTAACAGCCCAGGACTCAGTCTTCCCAGTCAAGGACCCTCCCCTGGTGCCCTAAGGAGTGGACACCTGCCACTGTATCTCCCTAAGAGGGGATCGTCGCTCCGCCGTCTACTCACACCCACACTGACGCCACAGAGAGCTTCACGATCCCGTTTTGCCCTCCTTTCCAACTCCAGAACCTTCCGCTCTCAGCTAGTTGTTACTGGCCCCTGCCCCTTGTGCATCCTGCGCTCACAGGGGGCATCTCCTCACCCTAGACAGCGTGGGCCTGGCTCGGTGCTTAAGGGGCCCCGTCCTGACTACCCCTCTCTCATCTCACCCTCTGTCTCTTCTCTTGGAGCCCCCTCTTAACCAGGGGCCAGTGGGTACCCTCCTCCAGAATGTGAGCCTCTTTAACCTGTAATGCTGTGGCTGACCCTTGACCCCTTCCATGCCATGGAGAACCAGGTGCTGGTGATTCGCATCAAGATTCCAAATAGTGGCGCGGTGGACTGGACGGTGCACTCGGGGCCGCAGTTACTCTTCAGGGATGTGCTGGTGAGTGGGAATCTCTGTGCAAATGCCAGCGAGGGGGGAGTAGGGATTTGTGGCAGTAGTGGGCACCTGAAGTAAGACCCCTTAATCTTACCCTGGGGGCCTGAGCTAGTGGCACTGGCGCTTATTGACCTGGGGGGAGGGCGGGGGGTGTGTAGGGTACGGGGTAGTGTTTCACTTCTTCAGCCACAAGCATCGATTAAATGTGCATGAGCTGAAAACTGGCAGATGTGCAGGGCAGGGGCTATAGAGGTGGATCGTATTGAATCAGTCCCCTTAAGGAGCTCACTGCTGGACCAGGACACATACAGAGGCAATCTTCACAGAGTCTAGAGGAGAGGGTTCTCTTCCCCTTACCTCTCCCCAAAACATCTCTCTCCCCTCCAGAGTATTTTGAGAATTGCCCCTGGCCAAATTCCAAGCATGTCTTTCATTGAGTTCCCTGAACTTGGTGACCAGTGAGGGAAGGAAAACAAGGTAACTTTAACTTACATTTAGGACATCTACGGTGTCATTGGTTGTAAGATATTTTATGGGCCACTAAGAAAGGAAAAATGTCATCCATTAAACGCTGACACTATATAAAGCCAGAGCAGCCTAATTTCAGCCTGTTAAAATAGGAGGTTGTGCACATTAGACTCACTGTTGTAATATTACTTCCAGGATACGCAGAATATATTTCAGAGAAAATAGGAGAACAGGATGTAACACTGGAGGTGGCCCGTTGAGCCCTTGTCTTTTGTCAGCTACTGAGATGCAGTAAAGTGAAACTGCTCTTGAGTTGCGAGAGTCACTTTTCTGAGTTTCTTTTTCACATGCTATGGTGACATGATTCATCGATGAGCATACATCTGAAGTGGGCAAAGTGCATTGTGCTCAATTCATATCTTGAGAAACAGGTATAAAGACAGAACTGATAAGCCAAGAAGAGCTTTGAGAATACTAGAGCTTACCTGCATGATAAGTTGGGGCAAGTGGAGGATCTTAGATCTATAATGTAATTTTTGATTATAAACTTAATCAGAATTTGATTCTTGTACCTTCACGTTGATTTCTGAACATTGCTCACTGCGTTGGCCAATATGCATTTTCAGCTGTCTGGGCCAGAACTGCAGAGACTGGAGTGAGCCATGAGCCTCCAGTCTTGTACACCTTTGCATCTAGAGTTCTGTACATACCTCTTGTGCATGTAGATTACCCCCCCACACACACCCCCAAGGCCCATGATCCTTAGCATGTCCTTTGGGCCCATCTTGATTGGTTGGTGCCTGTTTGGTACCAGTTTCATCTCACACTACACCCCCATGAAAATCCTGTGCTTCAGCTAGATGGAATTACTTTGAGCTCTCCTAGGTGCCTTGGTAATCTCCACTTGGATCTATTTTTCGCTAATCAATTTCCATCTTGTTTTCAAAGCTAGGCTTTACTTTCCCTCTAGGTTAATGTTGGTTATGGGGCCCTCCTTGTGTCCCCACAACTTCATCCCAGCAAGGCACAAAAGTTTATGTTGTCTGTCTCCTCCACTAGATGATATACTTCTAGAGGAGATGGGCATCTTTGTTTCTTTATCTGGTGCTCCAGAAAAATATTTCGGGATCCCAAAATATTTATATAGTGAGGGAGGAAGCTTAACAGAGGACACAGACAATTACGGTGTTGCAGAACATGCATTAAGTTTTTAATCAAAAAATTGGGAGTTAGTTGCAAACTCTTCTACTAACCAGACAGTCCCTCTAGCTTTCTGAGCCTTGGTTTCCTTATCTGTACTTTAGGGATAATGGTGCCTGCTTCAGAGAGTTGTGAGATCGTTTCAGTGATGAGTTTTCACTAACCATTTGAAGACAACATAGGAATTTTTTTTTGAAGATTTATTTATTTATTCATACAGAACTGGGGTACAGGCCAGAGATGCGGAGGGTGAGAGGCTTCACCAGAGACAGAGTGGGGAGCAGAATAGGCAGATAGATAAAGACACTGTTGAGGGGAGCAGCGGGCGGGTCAGGAGAGG